GGTCAAGTTTTTTTTTTTTTTTTTTTTTGGTTTTTTGAGACAGGGTCTCACTATGTAGTTGAGACTGATCTGGAACTCACTATGTAGCCCAGGGTGGTCTCGAACTCACAGTGGTCCTCTTGAGTGCTGGGATTACAGGCGTGCACCACCACGCCAGGCATGGTCAAGATATTTTTAATTTGCATCTAGAGGGATGTTAAATATTAATGTCAAAATAGAGAAACAAATAGTCTACAACCTGCTATTATTTTATGTATCTATTTACTTACTTATTTATATTTTGGGTAACTAGGATCGAACTCAGGACGTTGCATTTGAGAGGCAGGTGGTGGAACCACTGAGCTAAATCCCTGGCCAAAATTCTTTTTCTTTTTCTTTTTGGTACTGGGGATTGAACTCAGGACCTAGCATTCACGAGGCAGGCACAGTACCATTGAGCTAAAGACCCAGCACAGCCCACTATTATTTTATAAAATGTCAAATCAGTATACTTCAGGACACAATTGATTGAATCTTTTCATTTTTATCTTAATATTTCCTGTCATTCAGATATATCCTGAGTGAGTTTATATCTATTATACCAGCTACAGCTTTATTTCAGAAAAAACACATTGAGTGCTGGTGAATCATTTCCAAACTACTTGACTATAATGATGCTATTTTTCCCATTTTCAAAAACTAAACTAACCGAGGTGGTGAAACTTGGGTCAACACTTGGCTGGCATAAGTCTACTCTGAGGATGCTTCCATTTTTCTTATTTACAAAATCAAACTAATTCATTATCTGACACATCTTTATGGATCATCCCTGATCATGCCTGAGGCTGACTCCTAGGTCATCAGTAGGCTGGCCAAATCCTGAGGACTCTTCCCTGGTTAACAGCGAGGCCGGAGGCAGTGTGCCCTTCCCCAGAATCACAGATGAGGGCATTCCCTTGACACTCCATTGCCTTCAGACAAACTCAACTCCATCTGAATTCATCCAAATCTTAGCTTAAAGGCACAAAGCTTATAGCCAATATTATTTTCAAAACATGTATCATAAATAATAAGCAAGGAGTATCTAAAATTAAAGATATTAAAACCAGTAATAAGGATCAATTTATATGGCTCAGTCTTCCTTGAACAATTTCACCGAACTGTTAAGCTGTGACTTTTTAGGTTCCTGTACAGAAATGAAACCAGTGACACAGTCAGATCTAATATATTGCCAACTCAGTAGACGTGTCCAAGAAGATAATAGCTACAGAAATACATCACACTCAGTGAATACTAAGGGTGAATGCTAGAAGTCCACGGCTTCCACAAGTCCACACGGCTGTGACCAAATAAGCTCCCCCTCATCGTGCTCAGTGTAGTAATGGACACCTGTAATCCAGCACCCTGGGAGGCTGAGGCAGGAAGAGAGCAAGTTCCACTGCAGCCTGGGCACTTAGTGACTTACAGTGACATGGTCTCAAAATACATAAATAAAATAAAATGGCTGGGGGCTAGGGATTTAGCTCAATGGTTCTGCTGCTTGCTTTACAAGTACAAGGTCCTGAGTTCAATCCCCAGTACCAAAACACAAAACAATAAAATAAAATGTCTGGGATGTGGCTTAGAGCAAAGGCCCTTATTTCAATCCACAGTACTGAAAAATATATTTTTTCCTTCATTGAAGAAAAAAAAAACAATCTACATGATAATCAATTTCCTTGCCATATAAAGTAGTTTTCATAATATAGTGGTTTAACATAGCAGTAACCAAGGAGAGACAACACACACAAATGTGTTTACACAACCATCCTGAGAGGCTTCTGAACTTAATGTTCTCTCAGAAAGATGGATGTGGCCTCAGTCACTATGAGAAGAATGAGTTAACGTAAAGTATTTTAAGACTTACAAGAGAAATCAACTGCTATATGCAGGACGTGCTCAATGTTATTATTGATAACAATGTGATAAAGAAAAAAGTATACAGAAAGAAAAAAGGAGCAACATTAGATAAAAAGATAAAACACAGCAACAGAGAAACTTCTATGACCTACCTTCATTTCCTTAACTCTAACCTGAAAATTCTCATTAGGAAAATAAGACTATGTCCATGCTTTGCAAAAATTAAGAATAAAGCTAGAGGAAATGGGAGAGGTAGGGGAAAGGAAAAAATACGAGAAAAGAAAAAGTGGAAACAAAGCCTTTGCAAATAGGAAGGGGAGGAGGGGTTGAAAGGAGAACAGGGGACTAGGGAAAAAATACGAACCAAGATACATCATGTAAAGGTATAAGTTCCTACCAATCAATGTAAATGCATTGTATAACCAAAATGTACCAATAAAAGAATTTAAGAGGAAAAAAGTAAGAATAAAGGCCACTCATTAAAATACATGTTAAGGCAATGTTTTATTTCATGCTCTATTCTTACAAACTAAAAAGTTTCAGTAATTTAATACTTCCAATATAGATTGCATCAAGTATATTTGAATTACCAGTTTTCTTTAATTATGGGAAATGTTTTTAAGGAATTCCTCATTGATGAAACTTTTAATCATTAGTATGAATTAGTGCACTTTATTCTAACTGGGTAAAACCTAAAATAAATAAAAACAAGGTAAATGTTGGTATAGCACAATACTGTACCTCAGTCGTCCTATTCACCATCATCTGAAGCAGTGTTGTGTGGGAAGAAGAGGGAAGATATTACACAGTGAAAAAGGAAGGATACAGTCAATCTACTAATTGCCACTGGGTGCCCAACCACAACATGCCAAACCCAGTCGACTGAGAAAGGAGTCCTAAAACACCACACAGTGTAATTTTATCTAATTCTTTTACTATTATATATGATTACAAATAGAATAAAGAGGCAAATCATTCAATAGCTGAGCCTCACCCATTAAAGAAAGCATTCTGTATGTAATTCTTTTGTTACTGAACCCAACAGATAGCCCCCTTCCTTCTGAAATACCTCTGCAAAGAGTGGGTCTCTTTCCATGACCGGAAGTGATTTTGCATTATCACCATGGCCTACTTCTTGCTCATCCCCCAGAAGGAATCTGGCAGATGAGAGCTCCTCCCCCAAATGCATTCAGCTCTTACCTTGGATTGGACGTCCGCATTGTGATCATTCTGAAGCAGGAGTGCTGCAGATTTGGTGTCATCTTTCCGAGCTGCAATGTGCAAAGCTGGCAGCCTTACTTTGCCTTTGGTGTCATTTTCCAGGAGGATGGCCACTGCCTGGTTGTGCCCTTGCTGGAGTGCCACAGCAAGAGGTGTGAAGCCATCCTGAACAAAAGAGAAAAGCATTTCTGTTCATTCACAGATGCTTGGAATTCAGCTCCAAGTAATGCAGCCTGTACAGTTTTTATTTGTAACTATTTTTTATTTTAAGTATATGTTTGCAATACATAATTACAATCATGGTGAATTAGTACATGCACAGATTGCATCTTGATCATTTCTGCTTCCCCTTCCCTCTTCCATGTTCACCTCTTACCTTTCTCAGACCCCCTTCCCATCTCTGCAAAATCTACCTCCCTGTTTCTCATCACCTCTCTTTCATTTTGATCCTTAAATTATATACATATTTTTGGCTTCTCACAGAAGAAAACCCATGTAATATTTAGCCTTCTGAGCTCCTGAGCTCATTATTTATTTCATTTGGAATTGTGGTCTCAAGATCTATCCATTTTCCTACAAAAGATCAAAACTCAAATTTATTCTTTTTATGACTGAGTAGTACTTCATTGTATGTGTGTGTGTGTGTATCATATTTTCTTTATCTATTCATCTGAAGATAGTACCTCTAAATATTAAAGTAGTGATTAAGTCTGATAAGCAAGAGGAACAAATGTGAGTGTGAAAATCAGAAGCAATTACAATCAGTCATTTGACAATCTGTAGACTAGTTTAATCAGGATGTTTTACTAATTTCTCTTTTATGCATTTCAAATTTCTATTCTACAGCAGACCAGTGAGGTGTGGCAGAGCCGAGTAGAGCTAGGCTGCTGCCCCATACCCAGTGCCCTGGGCCACCAAACAGCACAGACCAGTGAGGGGTGGAGCTGTGCAGGAACCCCTGCAGCATCATCCCCCAACCAGCCCCACCTGTGGCCCCTGGGTTGTGCAGGTATGTGGATCCACACTTATAAAGGCCATTGTACTGAGCTCCAGAAGATGGAGCAGAACTGAACAACAGAAAGAGGGCCTCTTTCAGGCTCCTTGATGAAAATTGAAGCCCACTGGAAAAATGAAGAGAATCTCTGTGATAAAGGCACACCAGACTACTGTAGTTGGTAAGTTGGAGGGATCACCATCTCCAATTAGAACCTGGACTATCCTAAGGGGAAGGGCAGATGGAACCTGCAGTAGAACCTTGCATAGTTCAAAACTGCAGGAGGTCAGGGAGCTCAACCAGGGCCTTGCAGCCAGAAATCGGCCTGAATCTCACAGGTCTGCTGCTGCCTTGCTGAGACTAACTGACTTAGATCTGTACATTGCTGCCCACATCGTCTATTGTGATAACAGAGATATACCCTGAAAGAGGCCCTTGGTTTTTATTTATTTTATTTTTAATTATTATTTTGCTTTCTTTTCCTTTAATTTTTTTTATTTTTCCCCACTCTTTTCAAATTCATTTTTCCTTTCTTCTTTTCCTTTTTCCCCTCTTTTCTTTCTCTTTCCTACTCAATCTCTTGCTCTCCCACATCGTTCTTGATCTCCCTTTTTGTTCCTGTTCCTGCCCTAATTCACATTTCTTCTTTCTTTTTATTTTCTTCTCTTAATTGTCACTAATTTCAAAGGAAAGTAAGTACAGTTTTTTAGCTTACCCTTGCTAATAGGTTGTTCTATTCTTATCTTTCTTCTTTTATTCGGTCTTCTCCTCTTCTCTTCAACAGTTTCCTAGAGGTTGAGTAATCTTCCTGTGTCCTCTGACCTCACATCTAACCTTCCCCCATCCTTCTACCTATCTATCCCTCTCTCCCTAACTTTTTCTAACTCCCCATCCTGAAGGGTAAAATTGCTATATTGAAGAGTTTACTCACTAGACACATATTTTGGGCTGGTTCTTGATTTGATTTAATTCACATGGTTAAAGGTGGTAGATTAATAACTACCACAAATTATTATTTTCTAAGCTATCCTTGATGCTATTATGTTGCTAACTGTATCACTTGGGCTAAGATGTTGTGACTGATCTAATCAGGGGTCCTTTCTGTTATGCAAATGAGAGTATTTCTGAGTCATTACCAACTCAAAATCTAAAGACCAGATATTACCTGGAAGATCTAAGTATTAACCCAGGAATAAAACCAAGGACAGTACCAACAAAAGAAATAGAAATGAGAAAACATTTAAGCAAGGCACAAACAAATACTTCGAGCTCACCAAAGGCAAATTCTGAGGAAAATGAGGTGGAAAAGTCTGGCAACCACCAGGACATCCTGAACTGATATAATAGCAAAGAAAGTAACAAAACAACAGAAATAATTTCCCAGACAACTACAGAGATTGTGTGCAGTATGAAAGATCTCACTAGAGACTCTAGAAGAGAAACAGATAAAAAAAAATAGATGAGTTCAGGACCATAATAGAAGCTATGAATGTCCAGCATAGTAAAGAAATGGAAACCATGAATGCCCAACGTAGCAAAGAAATTGAATCCAGGAGACACATTCAAATAGATATCAAGGAGATATAAAAAAATTTTTTCCACTTAAAGAATACAAAACAGAATGACCCAATCTGAAGACAGAATATCAGATATAGAAGACAAAATAGTGGTCCGTGACTATGACAAGAGAGCTCTTAAAAATAGTAAACGATCATGAGAAACCAATCAAACAGCTCCTAGATATTACAAATAAGAATAATATAAGACTAATAGGAGTCCATGAAAAAGCAGGAGAAAGTGAAAATGACATAAAAAAAAAACTGTTCACAGAATTAATGAGAGAAAATGTCCCAAACAGAGCAAATGAATATGACATACACATAAGTGAGGCATATAGGTCTCCAACTAGCCAGGATCAAAAAAATCTATACCTAGACCTATAGTAATCAAGATCTCAGAAACCCAACAGAAGAACAAAATACTACAAGCAGTTAGAGAAAAGAAACAAATCACATGCAAAGGAAATCCCATCAGAATCACAGCAGACTTTTCAACACAAACCCTCAAGTCAAGGAGAGTCTGGAGTATTTCAAACACCAAAAGAAAACAACCTCCAACCTAGACGGATGGATGTATGATGCAAAACTAACTTTCACATTTGATGGGGAAATAAGATACTTCTGTGACAAAGAACACCTAAGAAACTTCAAGAATACCAAACCAGCACTTCAAACAATTCTAAACAATAAAAAAGACAATGAAGAAAAAGACAATGAAGGTCAGAACTCCACAAGGCCCAACAGAGCAATTCCATTAGGCAAGGCAAAATATTAAAAGGACAGGGGGAAAATTAAAAAGGGCAACAAAAGTACAATAACATGACAATGATAAGTCAATACATATCAGTTATAACCATCACTATTAATGGGCTCAATTCACCAATCAAAAGAAATAGACTGGCAGAATGGATTAAGAAGCAAAATACAACAATATGCTGTATACAAGAAATAAGTTTTAAAAAAACTCATAGACTGAAAGTAAAAGGATGGAAAAGTGTTCTCCATGCCACAGGAACCTGGAAAAAAGCAGGGGTATTCTAGGTCTCTTGTGGTTCCAAATGAATTTTTGAATTCTTTTTTCTAGTTCTGTGAAATATAGGATTAAGAAAAAATACAACAATATGCTGTATACAAGAAATAAGTTTTAAAAAAACTCATAGACTGAAAGTAAAAGGATGGAAAAGTGTTCTCCATGCCACAGGAACCTGGAAAAAAGCAGGGGTATTCTAGGTCTCTTGTGGGGCCCC